AAATAATTTGGTATTAGAAAAGACTTGTACAAAATTTGGGGATTATCCGTCAAGTTAAACCTTTTTAAAGACCTTTAAGTTTAAAATTTTTTTGAAAAAAAGCTGAACTTTCTTTTGTAACTGTTTTTAGATTAATCACATAATTATTTCTCAAATACAGCTTTTTATAAGTTAAAAAAAAATATATCATATTATATATTTTTGACGTTGATGTCGATGGTTTAATTAGTTTCCGTGTATGATAACTATTTCAATATTAATCTGATTAATTTAGCTTCTAAAATGAGAAATCAATTGTTATTTGCATAATATTGTGACTTTTTCTTTATAATTAATTGAACTTCAAAGTAATCAAGTATCATACGCTATCAGATTCGGCGTCATACAATACATAAGGTTATTAATCTCATAGTTATCAAATTCATAAAAATTGTACTAAAAAAAAATAATTATGGAATTAACCCAAAAATAGTTACATAATTCAATCTTAAAAATATATAAGATTTATTTAACTTGACGGATAAGACCCAAATTTTGTACAAGTCTTTTTAACATCACAAAATTATTAAGTTTAAAATAATAGTATTTTTCAATTTTTTATAACGATTTAATTGCTGAATTAATTATTAATTACTAACTATGAATTACCTAAAAAACTAGATGTAATAAAAAAATTCTAAAGCCAGATTCGAAATAACATCAAAATTTCATTTAGAATTTATATACTTTTATTTTTCTTAAGTAACAAGTTTGATCTATATTCTAATATCAAATGTAATCGTTTTACAATTTATTACCACGCAATTGTATACTCCCTGCGGTGAGATTTCTTCACCATTACATGACATATAAAATATTGTTTAATAAGTAAACTAGTTAATTATACTAACTTTTATAAAATTATTTGACACACATAAAAGTATTGCAAATATAATGTATATCGATCTAATTATTTGGGTAACCCTTAATATTACGGCAACTTTCAAAACTTAACTGGGAATTCATTAAAATTTTTTACTATAAAATGGAAAATAGTCAAAATAAAATATTGATTGACATTTGTTTCAAACATTAATTGAAGTGCTTATTGGAATAANTAGATGTTACCCATGAGTAACCACTTTTTCTTGATATTAATGTTTTGTAATTTAATTAAAAGAAAAACTTATTGTAAATTATTTAAAAAGAAAGTACAAATTTTCAAACACCTGTATTGGAAATTTTTCAAAAATACAATGCAAGGGAAAATTTTGATAAATGTTATATTCGTGTACAAATTTTCGATACATTATATTAAAATTACACCGTTCTTGTGTAAAGTTAACATGTATATTAAAAACATCATATTGACGTATGCGATTTTTTGGATCATTTCTTACGGAATACTTTATGTTATATATGAACGTAAATTATAAAACTGATTATTTTTGTAAAATAAAATTTTATAAAAAAAAACAAACATTATATGTTTTTTGTGTATTTAAATTGCACAATATTCTTTTTAAATTTAATTAAAATATATTTGATTATGTAGATTCATTAATTGAATATTAATTGTCTAAGATATGTTACATTATTATACTCTCCCGCTGCTTATTCTATAACTTCATTTATTCCTTTATTTGTGATTATACAAATTAAGTGTCAATTGATTAATTATTTGAAATTGTATTGTTGAGATTATATAAACATAAGCTGTTTGTCAATTTATATTGTTGTTAAAAATCCAATCACTTGATTATTTTCCTTTTAATCTTACTGTGAAGTAATTTCAAAAATTCATAAAGTAAGAAATAATGAATTCAATCTACAGGTGACTATTTTTTGATTAATCATCATATAAGACAGCCATTTTGCTGTCTCTAATATTTAAATGATTTCTAAAAATAATTTCGATGCTAATTCCAATTTTTTCATCGTACAGTTTTTGAGGTAATGAATATTTATGAATTAAACAATTAAATCATTAAAGAACTGAATTTTTTATAACGTTTCTGAAATAATTTAGTATTAAAAAAGAGTTGTACAAAATTTAGGGATTATCGGTCAAGTTAAACCTTTTTAAAGACCTTTAAGTTTGCAATATTTTAGAAAAAAGCTGAACTTTCTTTTGTAACTATTTTTAGATTAATCACATAATTATTTCTCAAATACAGCTTTTTATAAGTTAAAAAAAAAAATTATCATATCATATATTTTTGACGTTGATGTCGATGGTTTAATTAGTTTCCATGTATAATAACTATTTCAATATTAATCTGATTAATTTAGCTTCTAAAGTGAGTAATCAATTTTTATTTGCATAATATTGTGACTTTTTCTTTATAATTAGTTGAACATCAAAGTAATCAAGTATCATACGCTATCATACTCGGCGTCATACAATACATTAGGTTATTAATCTCATAGTTATCAAATTCATAAAAACTGTACGAAAAAAAATTAATTATGGAATTAACCCAAAAATAGTTACATAATTCAATCTTAAAAATATATAAAATTTATTTAACTTGACGGATAAGTCCCAAATTTTGTACAAGTCTTTTTAACATCACAAAATTATTAAGTTTAAAATAGTAATATTTTTCAATTTTTTATAACGATTTAATAATTAGTAATTAATTATTAATTACTAACTATGAATTACCTAAAAAAACTAGATGTGATAAAAAAATTCTAAAGCCAGATTCGAAATAACATCGAAATTTCATTTAGAATTTATATAATTTTATTTTTCTTAAGTAACAAGTTACTTATGATCTATATTTTAATATCAAATGTAATCGTTTTACAATTAATTACCACGCAGTTGTATACTCCCTGCGGTGAGATTTCTTCACCATTACATGACATATAAAATATTGTTTAATAAGTAAACTAGTTAATTATACTAACTTTTATAAAATTATTTGACACACATAAAAGTATTGCAAATATAATGTATATCGATCTAATTATTTGGGTAACCCTTAATTAACTTTCAAAACTTAACTAGGAATTCATTAAATTGTTTTACTATAAAATGGAAAATAGTCAAAATAAAATATTGATTGGCATTTGTTTCAAACATTAATTGAAGTGCTTATTGGAATAAGGGTTCAATTTTTTCCAATATAAATTTTAATCGTTTTACCTTTTTTATTACCCTTTGATAAATTGGTTTAATATACAATATATTTTATGTTAAACTAGGACTATTTAACTTTAATGTTGATATTCCATTAAAGATATTCATTATAAAAATTTTTAATAGGTAATATAATACTCATATATTTAAAATAAATATAAAATATTACATAATTATTTATAAAAATATTTATTTTAATAGAAACACAATACTTAATAGTAATTATTACAATTTTTAATTTATAAAAACTACTTTTTTTTTTTTGATGATTATAGTGTCAACTACTTTAATTAAATCCTTTGCGTCATTAAATAAAATATTTTAGTTGGTTATAGTAAATTCTTGTGCACTTAGAAAATTACATTTATAAAATAAAAATAGAAAATCATTTCTATTATTTTAGAAAATTAAAGTTTAATAACAATTGAAAAATATAAGATTACAACAAGTTGAGTTGCTTGAAAAAATTTATTTAAAATCGAGCATTCGTCAACTTTTAGACTTCCTTATTATTTTTTTAAGTTTTCCGCTTTTCTAAAGTTAACGGTTTTAGTGAAAAATTAAATATATGTTTTTTGGATAATAATATTTAATTTATTTTAGTTCCTTAACATTTAATAAGTAATCTTTTCAAAAATCAATAACTTTTAAGCTTTGAACTCAATTCGTCACATGTTAACAATATCAAATTAAAATGGGATTTCGCAGATATCATTTTTGTACTATTACGAACAAAAAGGTTCCGGCACTCAGAAGAATTAAAAAAATTGTAAAATAAGTGGCACACTTATAGAAACTGTAAGAAATTATCCAAAAATTCCCTTACGTCAGTATGATACTTATAATATTTACGTTACCATTACCGTTACATACAAACAGTGTAATTTTCACATAAAATATTGAAAATTCCTTAACAAATATAATTTATTTGATCGCAGTTTATTAAAATTTATCCTTGCATTGTATGCTTTAGAATCTCCAGTACATATACAGAAATTGTTTATAAAAATTCGGAATTTACGGTTATATATATATATATATGTATATTATATACTTTTACATCAAATTAGTGACAAATAAAACGTTAATGAGGTTTTTTATGGATTGATATTCTGGTTTTATAGACCGTTAGTCAAAATTTTAAGAATNCTGGTTTTATAGTTAGTAAAAATTTTAAGAATACTATTATAATTGCTGCTATCGTTTAAGTTGAATAGCGATAAGTTATCATCGATAACAGTATTTTGCTATTTATATCTGGACTAATGAAATATAGATACAACCGAACAATTGTACGAATAATATTTCCACGTTACTAATTTGAATTGACATGTATTAATTTTAAAATATTTACTCTCGACAAATAAGCAACTTCAATTATACTATTATATATATTTCCTATTTGTATATGACACCTCATACTGCAAAAACCCATTCATTATTGATAAGTTATTAATATTAAGAATGACATATTTCAACAACTATGTTGTCCATTTTAATATCACTCATTAAAGTTTGGCACAATTCAGTTGAAGAAGTATATTTTTCTAATGGATTGATGATTTATCTTCAAGATTTATTAATTTATATTGAACATTTTCTGCTTAAATTTTAAAGTTATGAATTAATTTCTTTTTGGTTACCCTTGTTATATAAATAATTAGCTACACATTTAATGATCCTCTAATTGAATTCCGCGTTACTTCATTAAAATTCGGTTCGCAAATTGTTCATTGTACTAAATATTTTAACACTTTGGAAGATCAACACTAATGGTCAATGTTTTCCCCACATTCGGTGTAGTGTACTACAGTGCGTGACATTAAACAGTTTATTTACACCTTGAATAGGATATATATTCCGTAGCTTACTTCAGTCTTCATTTGCTGTCTAATGTATGTGCTAATCTAATACAACACTAAGTGATAAATAATTTATAAACATTTATTTTTTAATTGAACCAAATGAATTTAGAAATAATTTGATAAAAAATTTGTGGTTTGAGATCAAGGTAAAAGTAAATTTTGAATAACTTTTATTTACTATTTCTTGTATGAACGTGTATCAAAAGTTAATACTCTAGAAATGTATTAGTTGTATTTTTAATATCTATTCCAAATTTTAAATGTTTAATGATAATTTGTTAGTGAATAAAATAACGTTCTTGATAATCCTAAAACTTTATTATTTATTTTATTTACATTTTAGTATTACATTATTTCACTCTGATTAAAACATCAATTTATGAAAGTTTTGAATTTTCATAAGGTTCGACAAAAATGATTTTTATTTTATAAACTATGCTCGTAAATATTTTAACAATAAATTAACTTTAAGTGTCTGTGTGGAATACATAATTTAATTTCTTAGTCATTACGAAATTGTTTTAATTTTTGATATTATTTTTATTTTATTATCTAAAATTCAAACTTATAGTTCTAAGGGTTGATCAACATAAAAACAACTTAATCAATGTTTTTTTTAACTCAATCATATTTGTTTTGTTTGTTTTTTTCGTTACTATCAATTAAGTTTTATATTTTCGTATGAATTTCTATTATAGTCAAGAACAATTTTGCTGTAGGCTACAATATAATTTTTGATATTTTAATAATTACATTGAGCTACAAAATGAAACTTTTTTTAGTCGTAAGATGCGAAAATATACTCTTCTTTGCCAATTTTTAAAAAATCTAAATCTCCAATTTGATTTTATATATCACCATGAGTTGTTGGGATAATTACTAATTAGTAACAAACGAGTAATTACACATAATAAAATTAATTAAATTATCGGTATCCGTACGAAAGTTCTGTCCGAAATATTATGTTTAACTTGCTTTATTAGTCTTTTAAGGTTAATTTTTAGATTAATTTTAACAAAAATTAAAAATAAAAAGTAGTTGATTATTTATCATTTGAGTTAAAAACAGTTTTTAACTCATGTATTAAGTTTAAAATTGACATCATTAGATAGAAATTTTTATGATGATTTAAAAAATAATATATTTAGATTGATACGTTGTCAGAAGCTTATACAATTGTTATTAACAGTAAACTATAAAAAGAGCTAAAAATTTAAATAAAATCACTATTTTTTGCGTTTATATTGTAATAAATTATTTAAATTGACATACTGCACATAATATTTACAATATATTAGAATTATTATTATTAAGTATAATGTTTTCAATTAAAGTATATTTATTAACTAATACTTAATATAAACTAATAATCAAACATATATATATATAAATATTATTAAATATATAATAATTAATATAAAAATTTTCCATTGGTATATTTTTGTATTTGATAAAAATTCCTTAAACCAGTATTTTTAAAATCATAATCCTGTATATCATTTATTCCTACTTACATAGTTGTTTTTATTTATTTATTTACTATATCATATATATATAATTATATTCATAAATTACTAACCCTATAACTGGTTATTGATACAACAACTTTTTTTCAAGTATATATGTTTATGTATAGAATATAATCAATTAAAAAATGTTTGAGTTTTATATATAGCTTTCATTCACAATATTTTATGATTTCTCAACATAGAGAGTTAAAATTCAAATATAACAACTTGTTTTAGTAATTTATGTTAAAAAATATTCATGTAACTAAAAACAAATTTTATGATTATTCATAGAGAAATTTCCAAGAAAAATTTCATGACACATCTTTGATAATTTTTTATACGCTGGTCAGAAACCGGTTTGCCCATTTTTCCAACATCCCTATCATTGTGTTTATAAAAATTAAAGTAAAAACAATAACATCTCTTAATGAATAATTCGCTTTCTTTTTAAATCTTTAATTTAGCGATTACAATGATTTCAATGAACTAAGAGTATAAATATTGTAAATTATTTGTACATAAACTTGAACATAACCAACAATTTTATTTATTTCTTAAAAAAACATTACTACTTAATTTTAGCTTCAATGCGAAGCTGAGAAGGTAGTAATTTTACTATGATATGTTTTTTTTTGTGTGTTACCACTTTTTCTTAGTTCTCACCGAACCGATTTCTGTCAACGATACGTCAAAAAATCACATATCTTATCTAATCCATGACTTACCCTCAAAAATTGAAAAAAATCTCCTCGTTCCACATAAATGGGGAAAATCTCCAAAAAAATTACAAATTTAAAAATTATTAATTTTCGACATTTTTTCAATTTTTTTACTTAACACTGCCATAACTTTTTCAAAAGTGCACAAATCAATATAATTTTTTTTATAGATGCTTGATGTCTTTACCTATCATTTGGTATATATTTTTTTATAAATCTGACCCTTTACCTGCCCACAGGGGAGGATTTAAAACGACAACTTTTTCACAAAAAATTAAATTTTTCAACTTAACTTTTGAAAGTGTTCCGGAAAGTCTAACACTTTTATATATATCTTAAATTAAAGCTAATGTAATATATTTTATTATGGAAAAAAATTTCTGACTTTGTTTTGTCTTCATGGAGAAAACAGACATCAAAGTCAATAAAAAAAATACGCTTTTTGTAAAAGAATTCTTTTTTTATATTTTAAACTTTATAACTCTATAACTTTTTAAATAATATATGGATCAATACAATTTTTTTATGATAAATACTATTTATATACCTCTTTCATTCGACCTACTTTTTTTTTAATAAAACCATTTCCCTTCCTATTTTTATATATTTATTCATATATTACACTTACAAGTCATAAAACTTATAATCAGAATATAAATAAGAAAATAGTAAATCATGTAGCTTTTAGAATAATCCATCAATTTTTTAAAATTAAACACTCTACAGATTTGCATCGAAGCGTTTTTTATGATAGCGCTTTTAATCAATATTAGATATCATTATACTTGATCCAACTATGCCACGTCACCACTGCGCAGATTTTTTTTTTAACTAGCTCTAAGCTTATATTATTTTGTTAGAAAAAGTTTTTCATAACCAAAAAATAAGTTAAAAAAGAAAAAGCTAAGCGTATTTTAAAAAAATACAAATATGTATAGACTCATAACATTTTTAATTAGTAATTTCTACGTTTTTTATTAGCAACAGTTTATTTTAAATTTCAATGTTATTATTATTATTTTTGATGTATTAATTTTAATGAGAATATTTTTTTTATTTTATTGCATTAAAAATAACGTGCAAACTTTCGAGTTTGCATTTCCAAAGACTTCATAGAAATTAAAAAAAAATTACAATTCTATTTTACTTTTTGATCAAATAAATATTTACTATAAAACTACACTATTGAAAACAGTTTTTAAAAAAATGAATAGATTCTTTTTTTTTTATTCTAGTCATAAAATAAGTCATTCAACATTTAAAAAATATAAAGTCCTTAACTATATCACAGACTTTTACAATAGTAACTGAAATTTTTATAGTAACTTACTAAAACTAACTTATTTGTATACACTTCTATTAACAATATATAATTAACAAGAAATTCATATATAAAAATTTAATAACTCATAAACTCATCAATATTTTTTCATTTGCTTAACTAAAATTAATGTTTTCAGATTGACATTAATCATTTTAACACAAGAACTACGACTACTGTTAATGTTGTGTTTAAATAAACATTTTTTTATAAATATCATTTTTTTGACAGAATAAACAAATTCTAACTAATATTTAAATAATTGCTTTGAAGTAAGTGTAAAATTTAACTACTAATAGATATTCTATAATTCCTAATATATGTACTTGAAATATATTTTTTGCAGTACCTGCATTATCATTACAATCGAATCTTGTGTAACTTGAAGTATTTGTCTAACACTAATTATATTTCAATGTTAACACTCATATAATAGTATACAAAAGTATAATACTGTGATAATATGAACAATTTAGTGCCAGTTTAACTTTTCTCCGTGATTTTTACAAAAATGATCACAGCATTATTTATTTAAAAAACAAATTATCAAATCAAAATTAATGACAGTTATTTTATGACTCTCAAAAAAGTTGCTGACCTTCATTTTTATGTTTGTCATGTTCATTGCTGTTAGACTGAACTGATTTTTCGGCTTATTGATATCATTGACTTTTAACTTAATACCAATGTCAGTAACTATGGAAAATGACAAATCAGCTGAAGAATTTAGTAATGGCACAACTCAAAGCATTTCTATAAATCTAAATACGCTTGTGAGTACATAATTATTTTTTTTAATATCAAACAAATTTCACTTTATTTAATAATAATATTAAATATATAATATTATTATAATTTATAAATTGAACACAATTACTATATAACTATGCACATTTTATTTTGTTCTTTTTTTACAGGGTAAATTTGTTTGCTTTAATTTGACACTTTTTAATGTTTATTTTTGTAAATCTAACTGTTTAAATTGTACTGCCACTTTTAAAATCTCTATTGATAGTTTAAAAAAAATTAATTTAGAGAAAACAAAATTTATCATAATTCAACTTTGTTCAATTATAAAAAAAAATAAAAGAACTTGAATAACTTTTAAATATTACTACTATTTTTTGATCCTAATTAATTTATCATTACCCGTCTTTTAGAATGCACAACCAAATAACGAACCCGTGAAAAGAAAAAAAGCTAAGCAGTGTTTATCCAAATTTAATATAAGTAAAACTAATAACAGTTTTACATTGGCGTTATTATTTCATACCTTAGCTATAATTTATATTGCGGCGGCTATAAGTCATTGGTACACAACAGGTAAGCATACGTTAAAAAAAAAAAAATTGAAAACAATAAATTATTTTTACTGTAAACAGGCGCACATGATATTGATTGGGAAAATGGATTAGGTTTACTATTGATTATATCATCATTGTATTATGGTTATAAGTTTCTAAAATTCATTATAAAATATGTTAAGTGTGACTTCGCCTACTTAAACCAATTTACAATATTACAACATACAAGGTACCAAATACATTTCCTTTTATTACACAAATTTCAATTAAATGTGCAAATTAATGTGTTTTTAATATTGCAAATTTAATTATCGTCAGCAAATCTTTTATTGTCTAAAAAATGTGTTGATTTTTTAGATTTTTAAAAAGCTTACAATTTCTAACACATATTAATTAACCGATTGATTAATTTAATTATTAAATTAACTTATATTAGAAAAATATTTCGATTAAATGTTATTTTAATAAATTATAAGGTATCATTGAGTAAACACAAATTAAAGAGTACTAAATTTATCTATTCCATTTTTTATAAACTTATATCTAATCATCGTTTTTCAAAATATTGAACTTTAATTACAATATATTTGTAAGATAAATAATTAATTGAAATGACTACGAAGTAGTGAAAAAGTCCTACAAAAATATGATAAATGATTATTATTATGAATAAAATTTCAGTATTGAAAATTATTCAATGAGGTTAATAACACAAATGTATTTATATATTTTTTTAGATCAATTACTCTTGGTATATTTTTCGCTTGTTTTTTTGTGTACATAGCTATTGATACACAAAATAATCGACAAAGACTTTTGCCCATATTTGGCATATGTTCATTCATCGCAGCAGGATATGCATTATCAAAACATCCAAGTCATGTCAATTGGAACACAGTGGTTTCTGGCCTTGCTCTGCAAATTGCCATCGGCCTTTTAACAATAAGATGGTCATCAGGAAAATATGTTATTCAAGTTGTAGGCCGTTTAGTTGACAATTTTTTTTCTTATGCTTACATAGGCGCAGAAGTCACTTATGGAGAAGAACTAATCAAAGTTTTTGCAGTGTTTGCATTTAAAGTAGATATTTTGCATAGACTTATATTTTTAATGATCAGAATATTTTATATTTTTAATTTTTATTCTAGGTATTATCGGTGATATTTTTCATGTGTTTTGTTATTGAAATTTTATTTTATTATGGTATTATCCAAGTTGTCGTCTTAAGGCTCGGTTGGGTTTTACAAAAATTACTTGGTACGACACCTGCTGAATCAGTAAACGCATGTGCTAGTGTGTTTTTAGGCATGGTGAGAACATTCTATTAAAATTAATTTAAACATATAAAACGCATATATATCTTTCTTAAAAAATCATTTCTTTCATTATATATTATTTTTAATGTAGTGAACCACACAAAGTACTAATGGTTTTCCAAGCTCTTATTTATTGAAAATATTATGAAATGATACTGGTACAATTCAATTAGTATATCATTTATTTTGTGTTGTATGTTTATACAATATGTTAACTGATTTACGTAATAGTTAATTAATCTTAGGGTAATACTATTCAATAGAATATTAAGAGCTTTTAAAATATTTATTAAATCAATGCAAATAGTTTTATGCAAGTCACTCGCAGTAAAAAAAAAATAGTTATGCACATACAAATGATACCTCTGTAAAATATTTAATGGAAATTTACTACAATGAAGCAATAAACCGCAAATAATGCAGTTGCTCTTCAAATTGACAAATAATATTTAATAAAACGCATTCCACATGAATAGAACACGTGACCTTATTTTAGGATTAACGTGTTCTATTTTCAAATAAATTTGATTATCTCAATTTCTTGGAGTATACACAATATTTAATATAATTGAAAAGGATAATTATTTCAAAACTGTTACACAAAATAATTTAGAAGTTTTTATTAAATAAACAAGTTTNACAAACTTCAAAACGCTACAGAATATTTACTACTGAATATTAATAAGATATTTTTTTACTAAAATTTTTCTTAAATTCTACTCTACAAAATAGCTATCTTAGATTTTTTTTTTACATTTTATTTAAAATTTTAAAATAATTAATATTTTTAATAAAATGTAAAAAAATTAATTATTGAGATATAGCTATAGACCTAACGTATAACTATTATTTAAAAAAAAAATCAACTAAAAATATTAACTGGATCAAAAGTTATTTAAGTTGTCAGTGAGTGGTGGGCCACCCTGTATATCTTTCTTAAAAAATCATTTCTTTCATTATATATTATTTTTAATGTAGTGAACCACATAAAGTACTAATGGTTTTCCAAGCTCTTATTTGTTGAAAATATTATGAAATGATACTGGTACAATTCAATTAGTATATCATATATTTTGTGTTATATGTTTATACAAAATGTTAATTGATTTACGTAATAGTTAATTAATCTTAGGGTAATACTATTCTATAGAATATTAAGAGCTTTTAAAATATTTATTAAATCAATGCAAATAGTTTTATGCAAGTCACTCGCAGTAAAAAAAAATAGTTATGCACATACAAATGATACCTCTGTAAAATATTTAATGGAAATTTACTACAATGAAGCAATAAACCGCAAATAATGCAGTTGCTCTTGAAATTGACAAATAATATTTAATAAAACGCATTCCACATGAATAGAACACGTGACCTTATTTTAGGATTAACGCGTTCCATTTTCAAATAAATTTGATTATCTCAATTTCTTGGAGTATATACAATATTTAATATAATTGAAAAGGATAATTATTTCAAAACTGTTTCACAAAATAATTTAGAAGTTTTTATTAAATAAACAAGTTTGTATAAATATTTGATGTTTACTTTTAACAATAAAATGTATAACGTACATATCAATAAATAAAGTTAATTTCTTGAAATTGTATAAAGTACTAGCATAAGGGGTAATATTTTTGATTTGCGACTTTCCTGTTGTTGTTTAACCTCAAATGAATACATTTTTGTTAGATAAAACATTATTTTTCTATATATTTTCATAAAATTCATTCAAGCTATCTTTTAATACTTTTACTTTATATGAAATGTGGTTCAGTATATTTTCAAACATTTTAAATATATACTGTGCAAAAACTGATATTTCTAAAAGCAGTTAAATAATACTTATTTACTATGCAACTATCCTCGAAGATTCATGACGAAAACAATTAGTTTCATAAACAGTCATTTATAATGTTTCTGTTTTTCATATTCAATATGGTTTAAAGACGGAAGCTCCAATAATCATAAAACCTTATTTAAGTACACTCACTGAATCAGAATTGCATGCAGTAATGATGGGCGGATTTTCTACAGTTGCAGGTAATAATTAATTTTACATGGTAAATACCATCAAATTTAATTATGTCTTAAAATTACGCCAAAAACAAGAAAAAAATGTGTTGAATATGTGTATATAGTTTATTATCTTAAGGATATTCATTACGATTTTTAAGTAAATTATTAATGAAAATGTTAATTGAGAGTGAAATGAACAAAATATAAATGACTATTACATTTATGAATTTTTTCTCGTCCCGTAATAATTTATAATACAAGATTAGTCTTTATTTCAAATTTTTTTATTTTTGTAACACTATATTATAATTAATATGAAATTAAACATATCTAAATTTTTAGGTACTGTGTTTGCTGCTTACACTTCATTTGGAATTGATGCTTCCTATATAATTACTGCAGCTATAATGTCTGCTCCAACAGCTTTATCTTTCTCGAAGCTTATTTTCCCAGAAACAGAGGAACCTTTCACAAAAAATCAAGAAATTACGGCCCCCAGCATGTGAGTTTGTACTAAAAAATATCCAAGCAATATTTTAAGGTTAGCCTTTGGTTTAAGATAACAGTTGGCTTGAGGACCTATCCCCTAATCTAACAACTAACCCTACTAAAAATTTAGAAAATATGTGTGTATTACTACTATACAGTGCGATTGATTAACTATGACTCACGTAGTATTGTTATAAAGGTAAAACATAATATATTTTTTTCTTTTCAATAGCTAATAGAATCCTATGTTCTATAATTTCCAGAAAAAAAAATTGGTCCTATCCCCATCTTTTCCCTTAAAATTTTATCAATTTAAGTTTCTCAAATGAAAACATATATGTTGAACCAACATGAAAATTAGAAAATTATCTATCTAAGAAAATGAGTGGACGATAGCATTTCTTGAACCAGTATTTTGGAAGTTATCAACATTTTTATAATACGCCGGAAAGAGTGGAGCGATTCATTAATGCCTTGTGATGAAAATAAGATATTGCGTGTGCCTTAGTTCAACAATCGCCTTATATTAACATAACTTTAAGAATGGGGAAAATTGAACATAGCCCCTCAAAAATATGCGCTCTAGTTAAGTGGACGAAAATAGTGATTTCAATTACTATCAAAAAAAGCTAAATCTTAAATTGATTTCTAGTATTAACTTTAATATAACATCTATCTCGTCTTTCATGAAAACTGCTTACATTTATACTATTATTCATGATTTAAAACTAAAAAAAGGATCATTTTCTTTTATTAAGTTAGTAAATGTAAGATCATATGCCAAAATTTTCGTAACTTAACTCGCAAAACATTTTTTTAGCCCCAGCGTTGATGATCATGCCATTTGCAATATTTTAAACTATTAAATAGAATATTCTTAATGTAAAAAATGAAGTAGAATAAAAATGTTTTAATTTTATTTAAAAGATAATTTTTGAAACCTGTAGATTTTCATCTAAAAATCATAAAACCTGGACGAGTGTTTTTATAACGAATGTTTTTGGTATATTTGTTATGTTCAATAATAAGCTCAAACTTTCAAATAGTTATAGTCATTAGATATAATTTTTATGAAGACCTTGGTAACATTATTAACACATAATGTTTAAAGATTGACTCAATTTGCAGAGAAAAAAACGGATGCAACGTTGTAGATGCAGCGTGTCGCGGTGCACAATTTGCAGTACAAATGGTGTCAGCAATTATTGCCAATATTATTGCTTTTGTGTCATTCGTCGCTTTTATTAACGCTCTACTATCATGGTTAGGGATATTAGTTGGATTTGAAGAATTTAATTTTGAGGTATGTACATCGATTATTTCTGTTTTTTTTTTCATTAATTTTTGTATATCAAAGCATATCAGCTGTAAATTAATATTGTAATAATAAAATACATTAATGAATGAAGTAATTAAACTATTTTAATGTAATACATAGTTTATATTCCAGTAGAATTAAATCCGACTCAAGTAATAAATTTAGGTTTAAATAGTACAAATACTATACTATACATTAAGACTATTATTTACCAATAATATCAAATGATGAAATCAATTTTTCTTAGTATAAAATGATATATAATTTTAAGTATACTTGTAAAATTTTATAATGGCAGCACAGCTTACAAACATTTTATTAATTTAACTTAACCATGAGATTAATGAATCTAATTACTTTCCCTAAGATTCATGGGAAAGTAGAAGATTAATCTTCTATTTTTAACTTCAAAAATTAAAAAAAAAAAAGACTTTTTTATGAAAAAAAATTGAATAAAAATAAATATAGTTTAAAAAAACTGATAAACACGCTTTTAAAGCATATCGAACATAAAGTTAAAAATAATTTTTAAAATAAGTTTAAAACAATAATGAAGAAAAATACTAATATTATTGTGAAAAAAAGCGTCGGGCACTTAATATACAAAAAATATGGCACAAACCCACCACCCTTTTTTTCACAATAATACTTGTATTTTCGTTCATTATTGTTTCAAGCTTATTTTAAAAATTATTTATTTTTCACTTTTTAGTTTTTTATGACATTGCTGTCACAGTCACGAAGTGTTTATTGTCAAATATGACTATCAATAGATATAATTTCTGTATTGCTAGTTAGTGTGTTTATAAACTCACAACAGTGTGTCTTCTACCATTGATAATAAAGGCTATATACCTGCGAATATCGTCATAAAAAACCAATTTTCTACCTGTATTTGTGGATCACTTATATATTATACATGTATATTAACTCGAAAAAAGTTGAATCTTTAAATGTTTATATCTAATTATAAACAATAATAATTTGTTTATATATATATATATATGATATTGATGATACGCACGTGTGTACGGGTACAAAAAACAAAAATAAAATTATACAGGAACAGTGTGACCGTCGTGTGGTGAGCGGGGTGGGGTAAATTCGTTACGACAGTTTAGTCTCAAGGCCTTAGACGACGGGATACACGAGTAAAATACACGTGGCGCGTAGAGAGTTAAAAACTATCAAAAAAACATACATACAGGTGAAACTAATATAAGCGTGTTAATTAGTAAAACTTGCACCTTAAATTAGCCAAATATTCACGCTATATATATATTAATAATTAACAATTTATTCTTCAACATTTTAATATAACTATTTAACTATCTTAAAAATTAGAAAATGATCTTACTAATAAAATGGCTGGACAATAACAACTATTGAACCATTATTTTGGAAGTTATCATTGCTTCAATAAAATGATTAGAAGTGTAACATTGATCTGCTTCTTTTTTCACTAAGCATTTAAGCAGTACTACTTCTTTCGTAGCATAAAAAAGTTCAGAAATTCTAGAATACTGGTTTAAAAAATGTTCTGCACTGGTCCTTTTTTCATTTATAAGCAAATTAAATATGCATTTATCCATTTAAATGCACTAATGATGATACAATTTTAAGGCGAAAGAAAAAATAGAATTATAATTATTCTGTTAGTTTAAGTGTTTAGGATACTAACTTCTGAAAAAAAATTATTATTTATCTTATACATCTGAACATATTACGTAATACATAATTAGATGAACATTCTGTATAAATTTCTAGTCCATTCATTAATAAGGCTATATCACGTTTTGATTCGTAATATTATTTATGCATTTCTTAAGCTTCTTAACGTTTTAAATTTCTATGGCTTCTTAATGTTTTGTATTTCTATGGTTTCTTAATGTATTGTATTTTTATGGCTTCTGAGTTTTTTGTATTTCTATGGCTTCTATGTTTTTTGTATTTCTATGGTTTCTAAAAATTTTTGTTTTTCTTTGGCTTCTTAATGTATTGCATTTTTATGGTTTCTTAGTTTTTTGTATTTCTATGGCTTCTAAAAAATTCTAATTAAATAATATTAATTAAGAAGCCAATTAATATTTTTTGCTTTGACAACCGATTTCCCATAGTAGAATTATAGTTAGGACAATTTTGTTTTGAAATATTATAGTACACTTCAAATTTTAATTTAATATAGATTAATAATTGTCAGACCTTCCGGAACATTTTTAAAAATTGAGTTGAAAATTTAATTAGACCGGCGTTGGTGTACTCATTTAAATACCTCCTGCACTTGGATTTTCACAAAATGAATACCAAAAAAAAAATGTTATTATCCTAATATATTCTATTTAAATTTTATTTAAATCAATGTTTAAAAACAACTACATCATTTTTAACTTGCAGAAAAAATTTTTTAAAAGTGCTTTTTTTTACAATAGTGTAATTTTGACTTTAGCTTTGATGTTCTTTTTTTTGTATTTTTTTTTATTATTTTTTTTTTTTGTGTCTGTTACCACTTTTTTTCAGCTCTCACCGAACCGATTTCTTTCAAATCGTATCTAGTCGAAGACATTACTCTCAAAAATTTCCATCGTTCCCAGTAAATGAGGGAAACCTCCAAAAAAATTACAAATTTTTAAAATCGCTAATTTTCGAAATTTTTGACATTTTTTTACTTAAAACCGTTATAACTATTTCAAAAATGAACAAATCAATATAATTTTTTTTATAGATGCTTGATGTCTTTACCTATCATTTAGAATATATTTTTTTTATAAATCTGACCCTTTACCTGCCCACAGGGGAGGATTTAAAATTCTCGATTTTATTTTTTATATTTTTAACTTTATAATGCTATAACTTATTGAAAAGTGTATGGATCAACACAATTTTTTTATGAGAAATAATATTTATATCCCTTTTTCATTCGATATACTTTATCTTAATCAGGATAAAGAAATAGCAAATCATGTAGCTTTTGGAATAATCCACCAATTTTTTAAAATTAAACACTATCTAAAGATTTGCATAGAAGCGTTTTTTATGACAGTGATTTTAATCAATGTCAGATATCATTATACTTGATCCAACTATGGCACGTCACCACTGTGCCGCGACCCTCCTGTTCTGGGTTTTTTTTTTTAATTTCTAAAAATGAGGAGTTGTTTTCAAATTTTCTTCATCAATAGATTTAAGTAGATTAAAATCGGATTTTTTTTTATCATTAAATCAGTCCAGTATGATCTGAGAATTTTCATGGACAAACAATAAAACGTTAGACTAAATTTTTGCACATAAATATTTAAATATTATTAAAGTGGTCAAAAAGTAATAGAACACAGTTTAAAAATTTGTAAACATAAATTTTATTTTATTAGTACGCTTTATAATATAACAGCAATATATGTCAATATTAATAACATCCAAATTATTTAAACAAATATTTATTAGTATTTAGGTTTATATTGTACTTTAGATTTATTTTATTCATGAACTTATGTGTTCATGAAAATCAGTCTAACTCAATGTTACCGACAATTGCGTCATAATAGAAAAAATAAATTGATAAGGTATTTTATAAACCTTATGAGTCTTACTAATAATTATTATTTAATTTTAATTAACTAACAATATTATAAATGTGTATACATAAATCAAAAGTAGTTAAAACTTCGAATTCTGAGAATTTGAACAAAAATAATTATAATTCTCTGAAAAAGTATGGACATTACTTTTTCAATATGAACAATAGTATTCAATGAATTTCTGCAACTCTTTCGGTTTATCGTTACTATATGTAATTAAAAAAATTAATGTATTGTATTAACCTTATAAAACTTTAACTTTTTTTTTTTAGTATATTTTAGGAAAAACGCTAATTCCAATTGCTTGGGTTTTGGGTACTGAATTTGATGAATGTGAAACAGTAGCAAAACTAATAGGATTGAAAATAACTACTAATGAATTTATAGCATACAAAAAATTGGGCTCGCTTAAAACTGAACATAAATTAAGCGTAAGTAAAAATTCGATTTTTGTTCATAGTTTTACTCGATAAAAAGAATAAAAATATTATTACTAATTACAAATAAATATATTTGAAGGCTCGATTTTTATTTACAGCCAAAATCTGAAATTATAGCAACTTTTGCATTATGTAGTTTTGCTAATCCTGGATCTATGGGTTCAATGATTGCTACTTTAACAACATTAGCACCTTCTCAACAAACGTCGATTGTTAAAAACATATTTAGGGCTTTTGTCGGAGGAACTGTTACTACTTTACTTACTGCTGCGATTGCCAGTGAGTTGAAACGAGATTTTTATTTTGTAGAATAATTTTTAATGATAAACATTTATGACATTTCAGGTTTACTTATGACATAATTTGAAATTAAATTCAAACTTAAGGGAAAAGTTTATTGTTAATATTTATTGAGTGTTATTGGTCACGATATTTAAACACAATTTTAAAATTCCGAGAATTTCTTTTTATCTATTTAATTTTTAATCGTTTCTTCTTTTTCTTCTTAACATTTTTAAATAACATTTTAATTTGCAACTTGATAAAAAAAAAAAATTTTATTTTTTGAAAACTATAATAATAATATAATTATTATTTTTAAACTGTATAAACAAAACTGTCATAAAAATCATGACAATCTAAGTAATTATTTTGATGTATAAATATATTAAATCAATTTTTTCCACTTAAAATTATATTTTTACAACAAAATCATCTCTATCGTAATTTTTTATAGTAAAATAACATCATGTTCTACCCTTATGACCAATATATTTTTAAGCAAATATTTTTAACTATTTAAAATAGTAGGATTAATTAATTTAATAAGTACATAAATTGTTTGTATTTTTTTATACGATTATAAATGATGTAATTTTATACATTCTGTATTTATAATTTATGTCCCCTTTTATTCATTTTTAATTTAATTGTTATTTATTTGTCGTATAGTTGTTATTATATAATAAGTTATTTACAATGAAGAACAAATATATAAAAATATAATTTATAATTAATTTTTTGAGAATATTGAGCTCAACTCTTTTGACAGCAATTAAGGTACATATGAATTATTATTTAAAGTATAGAAGTAAAATTCAAACAATTCATTTAAAAGTCAAATTTTTAATGTGTTTATATAGTGCAACTTATGCATAGAAAAATATAATTAAAAATGTAAGATTTCAAAGCCACAGATTAAAATTTACTGAGCACGTGATCAGTAGCATACAAACTGTCTATACATTAGTATTATCTAACTAATGATGGACAAAACCGAACAACTCATTAGTTGAAAATCTTAAATCCTTAGAACTAAGTTTTTTTCCAAGTCAAATTATTTAAGGCCCGGCTTCTTTGATTTTTAAATTTAAACAATGCTGTGTCGTACATTTACATTCTTCGTCTAAATCAACTGGTATTACATGTTTCGTTATTGATTCGACGTATTTAAAAGTACAACCAGATCCTTTGCAGCCCAATATAGACAATTTATAAGGTTTCATTTGTGTGTTATTTCGTAATAGAACCTAAATTTAAACAAATCATAAGAAATAATTTAGTTATTAGTATCCTAAACAAAGTAATTGAAAGCCCTGTTGCTGTAACCAAATACCTCCAATTTTAAAAACTTTTTAGGAGACACAAAAACATATAATAAAAATAAATGAGTTTTTACGACTCTGAAACAAATTCAATCGAAGCTGTTCCTAAATCAAGGTATATACGAACAGTGGAATCCTACTTTATTTGACAACAGTAAGATCAGATATCTTATTACCTAAAATCATTTTTCATTTAACGTGAATTATAAAAACTTTGGTCTAGAATCAAATAACATATAAAATATTTTGAGTAATCTAATATTTTTTATTAAATTTTCTAAGTGTAAAATTTGTGCCTATAAATCCTCCTTAATTCCCAGTTGTTTTCAATAGTTTAATTTAAATTTCTCAACAGAGTTTACTATAGTTGAAGAATTTATGTCTAGTTTCAAAATATTTTTATATACCTTAAAGTAAAATTTTCCTTTTGAGGTCTCATGGAGTTCTAGTAAAGCTAACATATTATACGTTGGAATTTGTTCTTCCCACACTCCTAATGCTATTAAAAGATTGGACAAGGTCGAATCATGACCAGCGTAAACGTATAGTTGATTAATTGAATTATTAATCATTTTGGTTTTACTATCTTCTAAAATTTTTTTAAGCAACGGACCTAAAAAAATGTTTAGGTTGGAATCATAAAAAATGTATTGACCAACTGAATTCGTAGCATTTACCTCCTTTAATTTTTTTCATTTGATCATTGAACGCGTTAAGTATAAAACTTCTAGAAGTGATTTGTGTCAGTTGACTNTATAAAACTTCTAGAAGTGATTTGTGCCAGTTGACTGGGATAAACCTTAGATGTCCATGGAGGTAGTTCAAGGCCATAATCCGACTATAAACAAATTAATTTAACTGTAAATTAGCACTACTATTTGCTTCATTAAAATAACGTACTTCCGCTTTTAACGTACTATAAATAGATTGAACATCATCAGGATCTTGCACTTTCATTCCTGTATTTTCAGTCAAGTAGTCATAAATGTTTTGATAACTAAGCAGTTCTCGCTGAATTGATGATAAATTCATTATAGCTTGTCTCTCTTCGTAATATCTTGGACACGATTTTCGAACCAATAATAGCTATAATTAAGTGAAATAATTTAATACCTATAAATGACTAATTACACTTGTAACACAATTAAAAACTTTTAAATATACTTATTAATTAAATTATAACGTTTTAATATTTTACTTGGTCATTGTTTAACTTTTCAGTGTGAATAGGAATAGGTTGCCATTCGAGATGTTTATTCCATTTTTGATTTCCGATCGGCTTATACAAAGCTGCTGCAACAAGTTGAGCGCTCATTTTAGTCCTATCAACATCGGTACTCCAAAATGTTACTTTATCCGGAGAATACAACAAATCTAAAAATCCACTGTACCTTTTTCGAATAAATCTCCCGATTTCATATTGATTGCGTTTACCGATCTAAAGAAATTGTATGTTAATTTCAAATCCAAGTTTAAGATCCAGAATTGTTAATTTACATTTGTTAATTGCCCCCATCCATATGGTTCCCACTTGTAATTAACATAAGGATCAGTTGGGTATGTATCGGCCGGCGTTCTTTCTCCATGTCTAAATATCTGAAAAAATTAATTATTTTATATATTAAAACAAATATAACTAATGTATTAATAGAAATATTTTATTAACAATTGATTTTATAATCACTAGCATTTTTTTTTTAATTTGGTAGTTTTTCAGTATGCACTACTACATTTGAAAAATGAATATACGATTTTTTATGATTTTACAGTTTCTCCGGCTAAGCCTTTGCTATTATCTTAAAAGTGGTATTATAATTTTAAAAAATGTTGAGATATAATTAATAAACAGTGCAATTATCCATAAAAATCTGATAGCAAAAATACTATTTATAACATTATATTTTTCGTTTGTGTACTATTAAATCACTTTATCAATGTGCAAACTACGAAATGTAATTGAATTATGTTAAATATAACGTTTAGTTCTTGCTTAGAAATACAAAGATTATTCACCTTTACAGGTTATTTTAGAATAAATTGACATGCCGATAAAACACATTTTAACCTACTTAGTATGAACATTCATTATATGAATGAAAGGATAAACTTTTTACTACAGAGCGCATCAAGTAATTATAAACTGAATTATATTGTTATTGGCAAAATAAAAACGTTTTTTTTTCTATTTTTAAAGTTGAATATACTAATAAAATTTATAAAAAAAAAAAAAATTTTAAGTTTACTATAGACATATAATTAAAATTGCAATAAGAATTTTTGATAACATTTTTACATATATTTATAATTTATGTTACAATTAATGCTTTATAGAAAAAATCATTCTGTTCTACACATAATATTAAGAGGGATCATAGAACTTATCAAAATAAGGGAGAGAGTAAAGTTAAAAATATATGTATAATTTTAAGTTAATTACAAGCGATTTAAAATGTTACAAAAAAAAAAATTTAAAGATAAAACAAAGTTGATAGTATAAAATAACCTTATATTTTACAAAAAATAAAAAAAAAATCTTAGAGAGAATCATTTACAATTTTCTCTAAAACACAATACAGAGTAGCTAAACCAAATCATTTTCTGATTTATTTTTGACGTTTTTTCACACTAATTAAGTGTATGATTTTTCCCTTAAAGTATTAATTTCAGAGGTATAGCCAATAGGCCGCATTCTCTTCATATTTTCTTTGTCCTATTAGTTAATTAATTTACTCATTGTAATTGAATTAAATTTTATTGATTGTACATATTCTCTTAATAAAAGTAAAAGGAAAAGTTATTAGTTTTTAATAATTAAAATGTTAGGCTTTCAAATATTTATTAACATTGGCAAGTCCCAAAATCAGAGTTAAACCTGAAACTTGTTGGCCACCATATGAGATTTTTAATTTTTCTTAGATTTTTTCCTTTTTAGTTGTATATAAAACATTTTGTTTTAATTGTTACATTTATGACAAGATTATATAGCAGGTAATAATTTAAATATTTTTTATAAAAGGTAAAAACACCGATAAATGAATACTACCAGTAAACAAACACCTCTGAGTTTTTAACTAAAAAAAATTCTAATCTGATAGTAACTTTAATTCCTAGTATTTTTTAAAACAAAAAAAAGTATTTAATTCAAGTCCTACTGCATTGTCATAATTTTTGATTCAATATCATTAACTTTGATTCCAATTGATTCACTGGGAAATTCAAATTTTCAACATTTCGTAATAAATTTAATGTTTGTGTTAGTTAATTATAAATATGTTTACATTATTATTAAATTAAATTTTCTAGAAGACAAATATTTTTTAACTTTATAAGTGTAATATCAAAATATAAATTAATAAAAATTTGAAAAGTAAACTCTTGACTGATCATACATAAATGAAATCATCCATATACATATAAATATATATGTTTATCATGTATTCTGTAATACTTATAAATAAAATTTAAACAAAACAAACATTTTTGAGTTAATTTAAATTTAAAAAAGGCATGTTTAAAACTAGTAACTACTAGTTTTAATCTATACTTAATAACATATTGTTTTATTTTATTGGACAACTAAGTCATATATTAGTCAGAATTTTTTGTATTCCAATGACTTACTTGATAGAAAAAGTTTCTTACCCCACAAAACGAATTTATTTTCATTATTTAAATTAACTAAGCTTTACAAACATTTTTTTTTAATACATCAACATTTAAACATTTATGTTAGAATGTTAATTTAAATAATTAAAAAAAAATCGTAGAGAATATCTAGGATGTTTTCAAAATTCCCGCCACTGATACAGACTACTAAAATGCTTAATATAATAGTACTAAATCAATTATTACCTACTATTTTAATTTATTTTATATCAATAAGAGAATATTATTAATTGAAAGTAATTTATTTTGAAAACATCATTAATAATTAAGCAAATTATTAATACATCGATAAAAATTTAGTTATATTGTATTTTGTTTATTCAAAAAATATAAAATTAATGCAAACTTAAGTGTTATATTAAAGAAATATTATTTGAATTTATATTATTATACATACTGCATGAATTAATCTTAAAGAATTGAAACGATAATGTTTATTATGATGAAGTGTCTTTGTAGTATTGTTATATTCTGCGACTGCATGAAAGTTGAACGTCAATAAAAAAATTGCCCAGAATTTGATAAACAAACTGCAGATCATTTTTACTGGCGCAAATATAAAACTAGATAACCAATTATCATATCTAATAAAAATAATATGTTTGTGGATTTAGTTCTTTAGACGTTCAATACATTTTCTATGGATTTTAACACGTGATGAGTGACGACATCGCGTTGAAAAAAAATAACAAAACAGTCGTTAAACAACAACGCCATGTACTGATTGGTATCTGTTTGACTGTTTGGTTGTGTTATACGTCAAAACTATACTTGGTGGTT